CAATCATGAACAAATTGAGGGGGAGGCACTTATGAGACTACTGTTGCTGGTAGCAATCTGGACCAACACAGTGACCGGGCTTAATGTCCCTTCCAAATGTGGAAAAATTCAGGTAAAAATAAATGACAGATGAGAGGAGAAATAATAGAGGAGTATAAAAGCGTGTATAGGTGGGTTATGTGATGAAAGAAAACCTTAGGAGAGGTTTAGAGTAAGAGAATAATATTATCTCTTAGTATAGTTACACAAGGTGCCCAGAAAGGGCAAAGCTATGTTTGCCAAGACCACTCCTGCTTTTGTTACCTGAAATGCTACCAGTTTGTTTGGGCAAACTTCAGCATTTGCTACAATGTTTATGCCTTCCTTCTGAAGACTCCTCTCTCAATATTCTTATCTTACTATGAGGTTAATAATAATGTGTACCTTCAGAAGTTGTATGAGGCTCTCAGAAAAACACAAAATTGCCTCACTCTCCACCCCCAGCCATAATCATTGGTCTAGGGATGGTCAGTTGGCCCAAGTATGGCCAATTACAGTCCTTCCCTGGACATTTTGGATTTGGAATTGAGAGGGACCAGCCTTTCTTTGAGAACTTGGACTGCAAGATGTTAACGTGCAAGATGTTTCAGCAGCCACATTTCCCCTCATTTGGAGCAAAGAAGAACAGGGAATCGATATGCAGGGAGAAAAGCAAGCATTTATATTTATAATCTATTTTTTTCTTTAACTAGTTTGAGTTGTTTTCTGAGAACTGCTTCCTACTGGGAGTTAGGCCAGTGGTGGGTGGCTCCCAGCAGACTGATTAACATGTAGCTATAAACCTTGACAAGCAAATGCTTAGAAAGGTTGCTGGTTATAGTGGAAAGAATACAATGGCAGCATGCCCAACATGCCACAGTGTGCTATGTGCAAACACAATCACCCTGGTTTTTGTGGATGGAAAGCTATAAGCAGAATGGGGAAAGACAATGGCTTCCTGTTGGGATTAAAGCGGTAGGCATCATGTGATGGATTTGAGATTCCCATCCTTAGACAGGAAGGCTGTAAGAGGTCTTATGAAATACTTAACCTAAATTACAGCTGACTTTGACCAACCAACCCTGGTAGAAGGTGCCTAACATTTTTGGGAACAAACTATGTACCCTAACTGCACTCAGGCTGTTAGTCCATGATGGCAACAACATGTATAGTGGATTAAACAACGATGACTCACAAGACAGAAAAGGGCCTTAGGGGAGATAGGTGCCAGTAGGTATTCTGGGACAAGTAGGGTTTCCTTTTAATGAGGAGCAGCAGTCAGAGGAAGAAGACATATTCACTAGAACAGGCAGATTAGAAGGAGTTATCTTCCTAGATGAAGGTGAAGGATAAGAGGCAGCTTGGAGAGATAAAGAAGCACTAGCAAACTGGAGCAGGTGGATTCAATAAATACTGCTCTGCAATGCTAGAACACAGAGTTCTAACAGACAGGGGAAAAGGTCTGCACCCTGACCTGAGAGGTTCTCTGGAAATTTTAATGCAGATGGAGGCTAAAGTGGATGGGAAGCAATGACCCTCTACCCTATTCCTGAGCCTTAAGGGAGCATACCTATGGAAATCTTAAGGCCTCCAAGCTTATGGAAGTTCTTTGTGGGTACTTGTAATTTACACCAATGTACAATGACTGAAAGCTGAAATAAAACATACCCTGCAGTATAGTTGGTAGGAATAGGAACTGTGCTAAATACTGCTCAAATCCTCTTCTTTGGAGGAAGATGGGCTCTGCTATATTTTTACACAATGAAATGCAGTCTCAGTACAAGCCTACAAGGTGGAGAAGGTGAATGACTATTCCCTCCAATTAACTTGAATTAACCCAGAGAAAACCAAGCCAAGGCCAGTTATAATGACACCTGTCTTTTAATAATACCTGTTATATGGGCAAGGGTAGAACACAGATCATGTACGTGTGCTTGTAGTAGTTCAGTCATGTTCAACTCTTTGAGACCCCATGGACTGTAGCTTGCCAGGCGCCTCTGTTCATGGAATTCTCCAGACAAGCATACTGGAATAGGTTGCCATTTCCTATTCCAGGGGATCTTCCTGACCCAGAGATTGTCTCCTGCATCAGCAGGCAGATTCTTTACTATTGTGCCACCTAGGAAGCCTATATATATGAGTCCATCGTTCAAAAAAGTAAGAATACCATGGCGAAAAACATCTAATAGGCCATACCAGAGGGATCATGAGAGCACATCTGGGAGGTTTCAACCTCAGTCCTGCCTCCAACCAGCAAGTGACTGATTTGTCCTGTAATGAAGCTGAATCGCACTGACAATGACGATGTGGTATTGTTGAAAAGATTCAACTGCCTCATGTCAAGGAGTCCTATAATACTATAATACACTGATGATCAAGTGTATTGGGAGATTGAGTTATAGCCTCCTCAGGATGTAATATATAAGGAAAATGACTGGCCTGAGGAGGAACTGATCTAGCTAACCATCAGTTGATGTCTGAGCTAAATAGTTATCATAAGGTATAAATAGTAGTAGATCAAGGGGGGAAAAGAATAATCAAACTCATGCCAGAATATGAAAATGTCTGTAATGGCTTTATAGGACAAATTAGTTGTTTCTTTAAGTCTGTCCCTACCCCATACTGGCTTCTTCAAATGTTAGGCATATTTGTGTTGGTTCTGTTCCAAAACGGAGTCACTTGTGTTAGGCCCCACATCAGCAAACCAAGACTTAATACCTAACCTATTGCAGTTACGGCCTCCCCCGCCAGGAATGTAACCTTTCATGAGTCAACCAGGAATTGCCTGGTTAGCACTGAGATACCTGGCCGATAGGCTCCTTCCGTTTGCATTAGGAGAGTGGCCTTACCGAAAACCATGCAATTCTTCACTAGTAAGTTCCTTTCTCCTGCTTACTCTCTGCTTTAAAAATACTGAAATCCGACACTTCTCTGGTGGTCCAGTGGCTAGGACTCCATGCTCCCAATGCAGGGGGCCTGGGTCCGATCCCTGGTCAGGGAGCTAAGATCCCATATGCTGCAACTAAGACCTGGCACAGCCAAATAAATTCATTAAATAAATAAAAATATTTTCTAAAAATACAAAAATCTTTCCCTTTTTTTCAGCTAGAAAGTGAAGTTGCTCAGTTGTGTCTGACTCTTTGTGACCCAATGGACTGTAGCCTACCAGGCTCCTCTGTCCATGGAATTTTCCAGGCAAGAGTACTGGAGTGGGTTGCTATTTCCTTCTCCAGAGGATCTTCCCTACCCAGGGATCAAATCCAGGTCTCCCGCATTGCAAGCAGACACTTTACCATCTGAGCCACCAGGGAAGGGCTAGAAAAAGCTCTTTTCTATTCACTAGGTTGGATGCTGTTCATTTCATGAGTCACTTAATGAAGCCAATTGCTGCTGCTAAGTCGCACAGAGTCGGACACGACTGAAGCGCTTCAGTCGTGTCCAACTCTGTGTGACCCTAAAGACGGAGGCCCACCAGGCTCCCCCGTCCCTGGGATTCTCCAGGCAAGAACACTGGAGTGGGTTGCCATTTCCTTCTCCAATGCATGAAAGTGAAAAGTGAAAATGAAGTCGCTCAGTCATGTCCCACTCTTAGCGGCCCCATGGACTACAGCCTACCAGGCTCCTCCATCCTTGGGATTTTCCAGGCAAGAGTACTGGAGTGGGGTGCCATTGCCTTCTGCAATGAAGCCAACTAAATCTTCACATTTCCTCATTTGAATTTTTGTTATTTAACAGTATTATTTCTAGATATGTTCCATAACTGCTACACAAAATGTACGTACTTTGATAGGTATTATCATTTTGCTATAAGGCTTCTGTGTTTAAAAAACACAGGGGGTGGCCTGTGGTAGAATAAAAAAAAATTGGTCTCATTTATTGGTTCCTGCTTCTTGGCTGTCAAAACCCTTTCATTTCCTAAGTGATTAGAGTAGTAGGGGCATCTTTTATGTTTGCTTTTTTGTTTTTGATTCCTGCAATAGTTGAGTGATAAAGGTAAAATGGGTGTACTTGGTTATTTATGACAAACCCTTTCAATCACACCTGAGTTCATATTCATGAGGAAATTTTTGGAAAACCTTCAGATCATGAGCCCCCAGCCTCCAGGATCTAATGCCTATTGGAGTATGTGTGTGTAGTCTGTCAGTCATGTCTGACTCTTTGCGACCCTATGGACTGTAGCCCACCAGCCTCCTCCGTCCATGGGATTTTCCAGACAAGAATACTAGAGTGGGTTGCCATTTCCTTCTCCAGGGGATCTTCCACACCTAGGGATCGAACTCGGGTCTCCTGCATTGCAGGCAGACTCTTTACCCCTTGAGCCACCAATAATAGAAGTAGAGTTCACACAATAAATGTAATGAGCTTGAATCATCCTGAAATCTTTTGCCCAACCCTGGTCTGTAGAAAAACTGTTTTCCATGAAATTGATCCCCTGAGTCTAAAAGGTTAGGGACTACTCCTCTAGATAAGTAGGGCATCACCTAAGGATGGGGGCTGGTTGCCAGGGGAACCAACTAGGGTGATTAGAGGGTTGAAAAGCAGGTTGATGAACAAGAACACATCCATGTGTCACACATTCTGTGAGTAGTGAGTAAAGGAAAGAAGGCTTCTCTTTATGTCTTCACTTATTTATTCACTTGACTGCACAGGGTCTCATTTGCAGCACCCTGGGCCTTCGATCTTCCTTGTCACATGTCGGATCTTTAGTCCTGGCATTGGGGTCTAGTTCCCTGACCAGGGATCAAATCCAGGACCCCTGCATTGGGAGCCCCAAGTCTTAGCCACTGGAAGTCCCCAAAAGACTTTTCTTTGCATAAATTAAAAAAACAAATTGCAGTCTCCCCTGGACAGGCACCTCGATTTCCTACTTGAGCATTGCTTGGAGGGAAACCACCTCTTCAAAGCCGCTCCAGCACCGCACAGCCTCAGGTCTCAACTCATTGTGAGGATAGTGGCCATCTCGCTGATGTGCCAGAACTACCATGAGGACTCGGAGACTGCCATCAGCCACCAGCCTGGAGCTCTTCACCTTCTATGGCTACCTGTCAATGTCATACAACTCCAACCTTGATGATGCGGCTTTGAAGAGCACTACTCTTCGGAAAAATTGTAGATCCATCTCAATTGGAATGGGCACAAGATGCCCACTGACAATAATGACACCACCCCCCCCATGTGACTTATCTGGTGGCACAAATGGTAAAGAATCTGCCTGCAATGCAGGAGAACCAAGTTTGATCCTTGGATTGGGAAGATCCCCTGGAAAAGGTCATGGCCATCCACCCCAGTATTCTTGCCTGGAGAATTCCAGAGACAAAGGAGCTTGGCAGGCTGCAGTCCATGGGGTCACAAAGAGTAGGACACAGCTGACTGACCAACATGTTTCTGTGTGACTTACCTGAGTGAGTAAATGAAATCCATCAAAGACTTGAGTGACTATGTAACCAACTTGAGCCAAGATGGGGGCCCCGTGTATCTAGCATGACTGATGAAGTTTCTCTTTGACAAGCGCGTCCTGGGGAACAGTGACAACAAGCTAGCCTTAGGCTGGCTTCCTGTAGCCAGGAGGATGACTTCCTTGGTGACCAAGGCAGGCTGTGCATGTTTGGCTTATCTCTGCCTTTTCTATAATTTGTACCAAAATATTTACTTAAGTTCTTTCTTGGTACCATTCATTCAAATAAAGTAATTTGATACCCCACCAAAAAAGAAAGCAAATAGCAAACACACTCTTGGAAAGCGGCTGAGGGGACCAGTATACCAGTTGCTGCAATATATAGGAAAAATGTTTATTTTCTAACAAAAATCTTTGAGGCTTGCACAGAAACAGGAAATTTTGACCTATACATATGACTGAAACTGTGAGAGTAAGTAGATGTCAGATTTAAGAGAAAAAGACTTCAAAGTAGCCATTATTAATATGCTCACATAACTAAAGGAAAGCCTGATTAAAGATGTAAAGGAGATAGTATGACAGTGTGGCATCAGACAGAATATCAATGAAGAGATAGAAATACAAAGAAAAGTCAACATGCAAATTCTGTGAAGTTGAGAGTGTTGATGGAAAAACACACACACAAAATCTAAAAGTTTAGAGTTATGTTTTATTTGGCTGACTTACTGCAGACTTAACTCCCTTGAGGGACTATTCCAAAGAGATAAAGGAGGAGCCAGGATACACAGGAGTTCAAACACACCTGGTAGTCCGGCATCAAAAGATTACTGCTAATTAAAGAAAAGCAGATACCTGAAGTGAATGAATTTTGTGCTTTTCTGTGTATGGGAAGGTGTAAAAGTCTGGGCTCATTGAAATCATCCCTTTGATATGCACCTTAATTATTAGGGCCAGTATCCTGTTTCTCTCCATCCTGAATCCCCTCCAGAGTGCAGAGAGCAGGGCAGCTGCCTTGGCTGACAGCAACAACATCCTTTGTTTACCGATGTGGCAAGTTCAGTTCAGTCTCTCAGTCGCGTCCGACCCTTTGCAACCCCATGGACGGCAGCACGCCAGGCTTCCCTGTCCATCACCAACTCCCGGAGCTTGCTCAAACTCATGTCCATCGAGTCTGTGATGCCATTCAACCATCTTACCCTCTGATGTGGCAAGTGATGTCCATAAAAAGTACAATAACTAGAATTTAAGAATTTACTGGAGGGACTTGATAGTAGATTTGAATGGCAGAGTATAAAGAATTAGCAGACTTGATGAGAGATTGATAAACTTCCTGTAAGTACACACTGCTGCTGCTAAGTCATTTCAGTCGTGTCCGACTCTGTGCGACCCCTTAGATAGCAGCCCACCAGGCTCCCCCGTCCCTGGGATTCTCCAGGCAAGAACACTGGAGTGGGTTGCCATTTCCTTCTCCAATGCATGAAAGTGAAAAGTGAAAGTGAAGTCGCTCAGTCATGTCCAACTCTTAGCTACCCCATGGACCGCAGCCTACCAGGTTCCTCCATCCATGGGATTTTCCAGGCAAGAGTACTGGAGTGGGGTGCCATTGCCTTCTCTGAAGTACACATTACCTCCCTCCAAAATATTTTGATGTATTTTTTTTACTTAGTGTTAAATATTTATTAATTTTAATGGTCTCTTTGGTTAATTAGAAGTTTAATTGTTTGAGGATTTTCTAAATATCTAATGGTTATTGATTTCTGATTTAATTTTGTTGTGTTTAGAAAACATATTCTGTAGAATTTAAGATTTTAAGTAGAGACTTGTTTTATGCCCCAGCATAAGATCTGTCTTTGTCAATGCTCTATAATCATGTGGAAAGAGGGTGAATGCTGCAGTTTATTGGATAAATTGTTCTATACAGGTCAGGTTAGGTTAAAGTGGTTAATATTTTTAGATCTTCCGCAGCCTTCTAGATTTTTATCTAGTTATTAAAGAGGAAATTGATATTTCTACTTTGTAAATTTGTCTATTTATCTCCTTATTTCAGTCAGCCTTTGCTTCATCTATTTTTAAGATCAGTTATTAACCACATACATTTTAGGTTTGCTATGTCTTCTTCATGGATTGACCCATTTATCATTATAAATGTCTCTCTCTATCTGTGACAGTTCTTCATGTCTTGAGGTTCATTAAGTCTAATATTAATAAAACTCTTTTCAGCTTTCTTTTGAATTTACATGGTGTATGTTTTTCATCCTTTTCATGTCAACCAATTTTTTGAAATTTAAAGAAATTAGGGACACAGTTGAATTTACTTCTGTCCTTTCTGTTACTTGCTTTTCTTAACTTGAAGTATAGTAGAGTCACAGTATCGTGTTAGTTGTGGTGTACAGCAAAGTGATTGATGTATGTGGACATTGTGTATATATATTATTTTTTTAATGATTTTTTTCAACTACCTTAAAGTCTTTTTTAATTTATTGTTGGCTGCACTGGGTCTTTGCTGTGTGTGGGCTCTCTCAAGTTGTGGTACTTGGGCTTCTCACTGTAGTGGCTTCTCTTGTGGAGCACAGGCTGGAGGGTGTGCAGCCTTCAGTAGTTGTGGCAGAAGGACTTAGTTGCCCCAAGGCATGTGGGATCATCCTGCACCAGGAATTGAACCTGTGTGCCCTGCATTGGCAGGTGGGTTGGACCACCCACAAAGTCCCTGTATATATTCTTTTTCATTATAGGTTATGAGAAGATATTGAATATAGCTCCTGGTGCTATACAAGAGAACTTTATCTATTTTATATACAGTAGTTTGTATTTGCTAATCTCAAACTCCTAATTCATCCCTTCCCCTCTTCCCACTTTGGTAACCGTGTATCAGTCAGTGTATTTCTGTGTCGGTCAGTGTGTTTCTGTTTTGTAAATAAGTTTATTTGTATTATAGTTTAGGTGATAATAAACTATAGGTGATATCACCTATATGTAGGTGATATCACATGATACTAGATTTTCTTTGATTTAGTTCCCTTAGTAAAGTAATCTCTAGGTCCATCCATGTTTCTGTAAATGGCATTATTCATTCTTTTTTATGGCTTTGTAGTATTCCATCATGTTTGTGAATGTGTGGGCTTCCCTGATGGCTCAGATAGCAAAGAATCTGCCTGCAATGAAAGAGACCCAGATTCGATCCCTCTGTCAGGAAGATCCCCCTGGGGAAGGGGAATGACTACCTAATCCAGTTTTCTTGCCTGGAGAATTCCATTGACAGAGGAGCCTGGCAGGCTACAGTCTATGGGGTCACAAAGAGTTAAACACAACTGAGTGACTAGTACACACACACAAACATATATATATATATGAATGGACATTTGGTTGCTTCCATGTCTAGGCTATTGTAAATAGAGTTACTGTGAACATTGGGGTGCATGTATCTTTTTAAATTAGAGTTTTCTTAGGACATATGCCCAGGAGTGGGATTGTAGGGTCACATGGTAACTCTAGTTTTGTAAGGAACCTCCCTACTGTTTTCCATAGCTGCTGCACCAGTTTACATTCTTACCAACAGTGTAGGTGGGAAGGAAGATTCCTTTTTCCCCACACCCTCTCCAGCATTATTGCTTGTGGACTTTTTAATGATGGCCATTCTGACTGGTGTGAGGTGGTACTTCCATGTAGTTTTGATTTGCATTTACTTCATAATTAGTGATGCTGAGCATCTTTTCATGTGCCCATTAGCCATCTGCCTATCTTCTTTGGAAAAATGCCTATTTAGGTCTTCTGTACATTTTTTGTTTGGGTTGTTTGATTTTTCTGATGAACTGTTTGTATATTTTAGAAATTAAGCCCTTGTTAGTTGTACTACTTGCAAATTTTCTCTCTCAGTCCATAGACTGCATTTTGTTTATGGATCCCTTTGCTGTGCAAAGGCTTTAAGTTTGATTAGATCCCATTATTTTTGCTTTTATTTCTTTTATCTTGGGAGACTGATCTAAGAAAATGTTACTAGGATTTATGTCAGAGAATGTTTTGCCCATGATATCTTCTGGGGTTTTTATGATGTCATGTCTTATATTAAGTCTTTAAACCATTTTGAGTTTATTTTTGTCTATATGTGAGGAAGTATTCTAACTAGCTGATTTATATGTAGCTGTCCAGCTTTCCCAAAACCACTTGCTGAAGAGATAACATACTCTCTTGACTATTACAGCTTTATACTAAGTTTTGAAACTGGGTAATGGACTCTTCCAACTTTGTTTCACAGTATTATGTTGGCTCTTCTAGGTACTTTGTCTTTCTTTGTATATTTTATAATCATTTTGTCAGTATCTACAAAATAATTTGGGGCTTTCCAGGTGGTACTATGGTAAAGAACCTGCCTGCTAATGCCAGAGATATATGAGGAGTGAGTTTGATCCCTGGATCAGAAAGATCCCCTGGAGGAGAGCATGGCAACCCACTCCAGTATTCTTGCCTGGAGAATCCCATGGACAAAGGAGCCTGGTGGGCTACAGTCCATAGGGTCGCAGGGTCAGATACAACTGAAGCAACTTAGCATGCACACACAAAATAGCTTACAGTGATTTTAATTGGGATTACATTGAATCTGTAGATCATGATGGGGAGAGCTGACATCTTAATAATATTGAGTCCTATAATACATAGACATGGAATATCTCTCTGTTTGTTTAGAGCTTCTTTTAATTTTTTTAAAGTAAGATTACTGTTAATTAATTAATTTTTGGCCAAACACAGGCTTTCTCTACTTGTGGTGAGTGGGGTCTACCCTCTAGTTGCGCTGCATGGGCTTCTCATTGTGGTGGCTTCTCTTGTTGCAGAACATGGACTCTAGGTCCATAGACTTCAGGAGTTGCAGCATGCAGGTTCAGTAGTTGTGGCTCTGGGGCTCTAGAACACAGACTTAGTGGTTGTGGCACATGGGCTTAATTGCTCTGTGGCATGTGGAATCTTCCCAGACCAGGAATTAAAGCATGTCTCCTGCATTGGCAG